TGTTAGAAATTTTTAATTTATGCGAGTAATTTATTAAAATATTATATAATATTAAGTTGCTGCCAGTATTGTCATATTTGCTTCACATGTGATTCTTTTGTTATTAACTATATTTAATCTAGAATTTTTATTTGTGCATTCTAAATAGTTGTAAAACTATTTATCGTGTTTAAAGGTTTAAACTGTTGTTTCTTAAAATAAATGTTAAAACGTTTATGTAGAAGGTGATAAATATAATAAATATATTATGTATTTACCAAGATTAGACTTTTTGTGTAGGTATTGGTTTGATTGATGTTTAAAAAAGATTTTACCGTAACCTTGATCAGATGACCTAATTTTTTACCTGGACCTAAAAAAGGAAATGTTAGMATCTCGCATGTCAGTTAGTTATGCAGTAGGTATTTCTTCACATTTTTCATTATTTCTTCATTTAGATGCAATTGTCATATATATGTACAAAGAGTGAATAGTATGCAATGCATTTATAATTGATTTCACTTTGAACATTATAAAAATATATTTTGTACCATGAATTTATTGAAATATTTTATATTTGATAGCAAAAATAAAGATAATTATTTTATTCTTTAGAAAATGTATTATTGCTATTTAACAGAACAAATATAATTAGAATAAACTATTATTTATTAGTAATTTTGTGCTTATTTTATATTCTAATAAACCATTATAATATGTATAAAAAATATTTAATATAATTAATACATTTTCTTATTCATTTCATTATATTTATTTTCAATTGTGTTGGATCAAATTTGAATTTCATTCAATAATAAATTATAACAATAATATTAATTAGAAGAAAAATGTGGGATATTTTTGTTTATACCTATTTTATAATTTTTCCAGTAAATATAATATTAATATGATTAAATTACTTAGAAAATGTATGACCTATAAATAAACATTTGTAAAATAAATAATAACTCACTTATTTTAGGACAATCGAGAACTCAAACACCACCAACTAATAATTTATCACCGGTTCAATTATTTAATCAATCAACTGCAAACCCTTCTCCTTCTAACACAAGTACTCTTCCATTACAGAAAGTAAGTTTCAGTATTTAGAGAATGTGTAAATATAAAAGTTGATTATTTTATTTTGATGTTTTAGAAAAATGATGGAATAAGAAAAATTCAAAATGATATCAAATCAAGAGGTCCACCTCCACAACCACCACCATTCAATCAAAAACCAAATATTCCTTCGGTAATTTTATTCAAAAAATTAATAATGCCTACATTTATTTTAAACTGTATTTATACAAATACATTTTCATTAATTTTTTYTTCTTCTTTCCAGAGTACTTCTGAGCCTGTTTCAATTATACCTCCCGGTGTTGGTCACAATCTGACAGGTAGTGTCCCAAGTCTTGTGTCTGATAATGTGGCAGGCAGAGGTCCTCCTCCAGGGGGATATGGTAAGCCAAATGTAGCTCCAAAACCACCATCTATCAGGCCAGCCGTGCCTACAAAAAAGTCAACGTTGACAGTTAGTTCAACTAATTTAGTAGCAGCTGATGGACGAAATCTTGTTTCTAGAGCACAAAGTATGAGGATACCAAAAACACCTCCAGTTGCTGCAAATAGTCAACGTATGTGTTTACATATTAAATCTTTAATTAATAAAATGTGATGTTTATAATTTTAATATCATTATATACAGCACCTCAATTTAATAACATGACCATCAGTAATAAAAATCAATTACCTGCTTTCCATCAATCACAAGACAGTATTTTGAGGAGCTCTCCAAACCCTCCACCAAATAGCCAGTGGGGATCACGGACGTTACGGCCYATTAAACATCCAARTACTAGGCCACCACCTCCACCCATAAAAGCGCCATTGAATCCACCTTTGTGTGCTCCACCACCACCACCACCACCACATAGGAGTGGGCCTCCTCCTCCACCACCAAATGTTCCCCCTCATAAAAGCTACCAAAATAACAATGTAAGTATGGATTTACATTTATTTATAATACAATAATCTATTGTAATAAATTATTTATATTTGCCTAGGTGACTAATGGAGCTCCCCCAACACCTCCAACACGTCATTCTTCTATGCGAAATGGACCTACTTCTGTTTTAAGCATGTCTCTTTTGGGTAATATTWCTAATGATTAATTTAATATGAACTATTTTAAATKTGAAACTTAATTTTGTAGAAGAAATGGAAATGAAGTTTTCTACTATGTTCAAGCCAATGGTTAGGATTCCACCACCTCCAATTTTCCAAAGAGTTGATAAAATTTATAATAGCAGACTAGTCGGTAAAGATAAACTTACTATTCATTGAAAACTCAAATCTGTAGCTAATATATCTGATTTCAGTTGCAAAACACCAAGCTCCTAAGCCACCAGGCTATTGAACAGTGTAATTTGTTTTGCTCAAGTGTGAAAGAAATGTTGGACTTATATTCCAAATATGTTACTTTCTGCATAGGTTTGTATATTAAATCATTTTTCCTCGTGATGAAACTGTATTTTTGCTTGTACAAGTACAATGTTATTTCTTTAAACCAAAGGCATTATTGTGATAAAGATAATTTGAAAGTATCATTAACGGTGAAGAAAAAGAGAAAAGTATTTATTTTTTTGTCTATTTTTTTTTTGTTTTTACATGAATTATTCCAACAATAACTTTATACAATACTATTGTTATTGATATTATATTTTTAGAAATACATTTTAAGTTTAAATTATAATATTTTGAAAAAAAAAACGATTTCCCCAAAAATTTGTGATAATATTTTTGCACTTGTTATTGTACTAAACGTGCTTTTATTTTTATACTTAAAACCATAGTTTTTTTCTAAATATAAATTAACCAAGATTTTTAGATAGTTTTATGTGGTTCTTACTGCATTATCAATTAAACATTTTTTAATTCTTAAAAACTAATTTACCTATATTTGGCGTTAAATTTGATACTATATTGGACAAAATTTAGTCAACTTCCGTTTGTTATAATTTAGCTATGCATTTGTTAAGAAGGGGGGTAACATATATATTTTATTGATAAATTATATCATATTATTATTTATTGCTTATATTTTTGTTTTACTTAATCTCTCCTAGTCATAAATTTAGATAAATAATTGTATTTAAACTTGCATTGTAAATAATCATTAGGGAAAGGGTTAATGAAAATGATATTGTTGAATAAAATTTAAAACAAATATAATCAAAAATAACAAAATATAAATTTCCTATGAAATTTGTTTGGTCTTTGTATCATAAMATAGACTACCATTTTGTTTTACTATTTTATTACTATTCTTTTCTATTGCTATACCTACTACATCAACAATCATTTTTATTCACACATAACATAGTTTATATATTTTTCAATGATTATTTGTAATTAATTTTATTGTTTTATAGTTTTACTGTAATATCTTAGCATGATTGCATGTTCAAGTCTTATATACTATGTTTAATTACTTAGTACAG